TTGAAGCTTACTCTGTAGTTTCATGCAAGACCAAGTAAACGTGCACTGTTTTGTTTGTGTCATGCTTTTCTTTTAGATTTAGCTCCTTGATGTTTCAAGGAATTTTTAGTCTTCCTCTATTTATGCTTTCTATTTCTGCAATTCGTAATTTTAATAGATTGCAATAAAATAATAGAGAGGAAGAAGAGGAAGAAGAACTGGGGACTCTTTCTTATGCTGATAGAGCAAGTAGTGTTGAAATTGTATGATTGACTACTTTGTGAATTCTTTTTCCATATCTTCTGCCTAAACCTTCGCTAATTATTGGACAGATCAGAAACTGATATCATCAACGTTGTGGAGCAAAGAATATGGCATTCCATGGAAGAAGGACAGTTCGAAAACTTGCCGGGGAAAGGCAAGCCACTTAAGCTAGACATGAATCCTCATGCAGACCCAGCTGAAGATACGTTGTACAGAATCCTATCAAAAAATGGTTGTGCACCGGAGTGGGTTGAGCTTAACAAAGAAATAAGAACTAATATATCTGAATGGAGGGCAGCATTGAAAAAAGCTTGGATAAATAAATGCAGTGATAATCTTAAGTGGGTAGAGAGTTCAGAAGTTTTGAAAACGCAATTACGTGATATCAATAATAAGGTGTGTGATGATTTCCTCTGTAAAAGCTTAGGGAATTCAATGTTTGCTTCATTGAAATTTTATATTCTCTTTTTGATAAGTGTGATACTCATTTAATAAATTTGACATCTTCCTGCAGGTTTTTCGATATAATCTCATCGTCCCTTTTGGTAGGCAAATGTTTGGCCTTAATTGGGAGAAAAGAGCTTGGGCGTTTAGAAGAATAAGGACTCTCAGTATTTTCAGTCTGTTAAGCCTTAAGCAGGTTGATTGATTCTCGTGGAAAATCAAATTTTGTTTAATCTTGTTGGACTGTCATGCCGAGTAACTTATCAGTTGACTCAAACCGAGTGAAATATCAGTTGCCTAGCTCAAACTATGGTTAAATCCTTTCATCGGTTTTGTTGATGGTGTTGCAGTTTGGATGTCTCCATCATGTAAGATCAAGGGACACAAAAATTTTAATAGCATGTACAAGAAAAACTTTATACTAGTTGTCACTTCTATGTTAAAGTAAACAGGGTTAATTGTGCAATGGTTTTATTGCGGACTTCGTTTGATTTGAAGTGCGATTTTACCTTTGTCTTAAACGACGTGAGCATAACCTACTGTTGGTGAATGTACAATGATCTTGTTTATCGTCACCGGTGGATAAAGAGCAGAACGTGCCAACGACTTGAACATGAGCTAATCAGCTAAACGTGTTTTCTTGGAACATAAAATGGAAAATCCCTGTATGTATTGGGGTACCAAATAGAGCCAACTTTAGCAAAGCGTGAACGTCTATAAAAAAATAGGAGTATGTGTGCAACTTTATCCCCCAGGTAAGTGGTAATTTCTAAATTTTTCGTATCACCAATGTGGGCACCTGTCTAGTTGACGATATAGCAGCAAGATGCGTGAGCGCTCTCCATGGTAAGTGGTACTTAGCTGTTTGTACTTCTTCACAAAAGCTCCAAAGTCAATGTCCTTATCAAGGAGTTGCTGGTGCAGATTTTCAGATTACTCTTCCGACTTGTTCATAGCCTCTGCAATTCATTTGAAGTTTTTTGTATTCGTGAACTCAAGCCCTAATCTTCATAAAGATAAAATTCAGCCATCTTCAAATTATCATATCTTATCATACCTTGAATCCTTTGGAGAAGCAATGCAGGGGAATTGGTGTGCAGTATGTCTTGTTTCTGCTTGTGAAGCTCATTTATTTTCTCTTGAACACCAGTGAACTCAGCTGTACGAATTATTGCACACTGTTCCCGTAGAAGGAAGCGAGCTCCATAACATGACTGTCAGAAAACAGCCACACAAATCATAGGTGAGTAGCGTTACCTGATTCCTAAGCTCCATGATACGAGGTTCCTTTTGCAGATTTTCTTCTGTATTCAAGAACAGAGGGATTTTGAGAAGTTTTCTGGTATTTAATTTGCTTGATAGTCATGAGACGTTAGCGCAACAAAAATAATTCAATAACACACCAGCAAGCTGTGAATTCTCCTTGCAAAGTTCATATTTCAGCTGATCATATCATTTGGCAAAAATTTGTCGGAGACACAAAATTAGAAATTCCAGCTTTCCAAGTCAGCAATAGGAACAAAGTACTGCAGAAGACTTTGTATATATGCAACAACATTATAACAAGACAACAAAACCAAAGCCTGAAATTTTCTGCTCCTTTCTTCTCTTCTATGGAAGGTTTTTATTTTTATTCTTTTTTTTTTTTTTGGGGTGGGGGTGGGGGGGGGGTTTCAAATTATCGGTATTGCAGTCGTCACAAGGGGTATTAGCTTTTTTCTGTCAAAGTTGGGGTCACCTGTGTGGCGTGATTGGGTATAGTTGTGATTGTTGCATGAACAGAACAAGCAAACAAGATTTCAACATTTCTAGACACGTACAAGGTTATCATTGCTAATTGCTTGAATTGACACCTTGAGTATAGCAATTTAGCAAATCGGAATACTAAGACGCATATCTTGGAACTCTGCCTTTCTTTGATACATAACACAAGCAAAGGACCACTATCCTTACTTCTAACCATAACCTAGCCTGTTGGTCGGAGGGGCCGGGAGAAGGCGGCAAGTCAGCAAAATGTTGGAAAATTTGGGCCATAACCACATTGCATAGCAATAGAACCACTCTATACACGTTGTGGTGAAATATATAATTTGAATACGTACATAATCTATTCTAGTCGATCAACACAAGAGTTTGATGCTTTGTTTAGAATCTCCACATACAAATGGATGAAGAAATCATTGTCGCAAAGATTAAAGTCCTTAACAAGTAAATACTTACCAGACAGTGTTCATGCAAGAAACTAGAAGCCAGTGATCAAGACTATAACTGCAGAGACATGATGAAAAGGAAGCTTAAAAGCAGATGGCAGTGGCGCTTAGCCCGCCAAATTCTAATTATACGGTGATTAAATGTAGATGACAAGGGAAAGTATCCTAGCTGACAATATATCCTCGATCTCACAACACCAACACTTATAGTCATATCAAGCTCAAAGGAGAAACGGAGTTAATATAACATGACAAAATATACTTAAGGATATAGCAAGCCAAGCAAGACAGAATTCAATTCTAAGTTCACAAACCAGCATGGGCAAGAGTAACAACTTGAAACTTACATTATTTTGAATCTTGCCCTGATCAATAGAAAGTAAAAACTGCTGGTATGCTTCTCTGTCAGATACAAGTTTCCGCAACTCACCGGCACTGAACAATTTATAAATTGTGAAAATGATAAATAGGAGCAGCACTATTTGAACAAGTACAGAATGAACTAATGATCTCGGTGATAAAGTTAAGAATAAATAATCAGCGTATTTTACAAGTAATGAAATGATTGTTTATTAAATGAATTCTTCAAACTTCAAAATGGAAGTGATATTGCACTGTTCAGAGCAAGGTGTCTTAGACATTACTTTACCTTTTGTCCATCAAAACAGAAATAAATCCAGCAGATTCAGCAGGTGAAACATGTGAAGGAGACTGCAAAATTTCAGTAGGGCTCGATAAACCGTAGCTGCTTGAGGAAGCGTCACTTGGAGTCGAAGGTCTAGAAGAACTTGGCGAACTGACAACAGACGAAGGATGCCAGGATTGTGAGGCATGTTCATTTGGACATGGCTGAGTCTTGTGCTCTTCTGGTCTCCTGTAACTAAACCGTGCCTATTACCTATAGTAGATTTTGATGATATGCAGCTTGTTGAAATTGAAGAGCAAAAAATTTAATTGGATCGGTGGAATCGAAGACATGCCAAATGAAAGCTAAGCTAAAGTTTCGGAATAATGCCTAATCCCGACACATAATATGTACTTACCAGAATTCAAACATTGCTAACTGGTTCGAATTGCAGATTTTGAAACAGAAGGAGGCGAGGCAGCGTCGACTCTCGAATATTTTTTTTTTTTTTGCTAAAGTATAGGTATCCTCCTATTGAAGGCAATTCTATTTGACACACTGTCAGATACTAAATATGAGTACCTCTCTCAGCGGGAATTTGAACCGTTGTGGAAGACTGGCCCTTTCCACTGCACCCAACTCCTGTTGGTGACTCTCAAATATTATAGGAACTTGGTATTCTTTCTCTGGTCGTCGCAGCACGGCCCTCTCCGTTCAAAAAATTGTCCATTGTCTTATTTTTTTGTTTGGTTAAAAAAAGTGGTTTTTGGGATTTCCTTCTTCTTTTAGGAAGAATTAGATTTTGGGCTGTGATTTTAAAGACGCTGCAGATGACAGCAGGATGCTTTTTTTTTTTTGTAGGGATTGACATCATGTGATTAATCATGTTTTTAGTGAGAACTTAGGTATGGCTGACTTTCTAACCAAATCTTCACACACTATGGGAGGTAATTTTTTACTCTTGATCAACTTCCACCTTTTATATAATGGGAGGAGGAGTTTGATGACAAGACCTAGTTCTGATAGCTTATTTGTACTTTTGTATTAGTGAATCCAGTTTTTATTTTTTTTTAAAAAAAACAAAGATTTTCAGCCGTGATACACATTAATATCCGACATCTTGTGAACCAATTCATGTGGTTGTTATGAAAACCTAGCCCACATATTAATGTAAGCATTATCATGTGTGATTGTGAAGTTAAATAGATTTACGAATACTTTTTCTGATTTTTAATATAAGAACTAATTTGACATTTAATTTGATTCTAAATATAAGACATCAATTCACTTTGTATTAATGAATCTAGTTTTCATTAAAAAAAAAAAAAAAAGAACAAAGATTTTGGGCTATAATACATATTAATATCCAACATCTTGTGGACAAATTCATGTGGTTGTTATGAAAACCTAGCCCACATATTAATGGAAGCATTATTATGTGTGATTGTGAAGTTAAATAGATTTATGAATACTTTTTCTGATCCTTAATATAAGAGCTAGTTTGATATTCAATTTGATTCTAAATATAAGATATCAATCTATTTTGTCTATTATATTTATTTATTTTTTCAAGATAGTTCTCGTAGTAGTTGCACATATTGAAGCTTTTCTCAAATAGTAGTTCTAGCTAATACATATGATTAATAATAGTATTTTAAGAGAGATAACATCTATTTATTATAAATTACTAAGTTAAGTAATTTTTTGATCTGTTCAAATTAGCCAATTAACTTTGTAATTGAAGAGTAAAAATAGTATACAATAAATATATAAATAATACGAGTTGTGACAAGTTTTGCATTAATCTTTTCTTTTTTTAACTGAACAAGTTTTGTATTAGTCACATGTACGCAACTTTAAGCTCTTACAGTCTAATCACATCAAGTGACTTCTTAAATTATTTTTCAAACATAAAATTGTTAGATCGGATTCTTTATAAAATACACAAAGGGTGCATGAATTATGATTAAAAAAAACCTTATCATAATTATTTTGAAGAATAGAAGGATTAATTCATCTCTCTCTGTTTTTTTTTTTGGGCCAGCTTATATACTCATCTCACACTTTCATATACAATGTATGAGATGAGTATATATTAACTGTATACTTGCCCTTAGCTACAATATAAAACTTGCTCTTGCCGCATAAACGTTCACGTGATATTGTTTGCTTCAAATGAACTAACTTATTTAACTTTTTTAATTCAATCATATTAATTAAATAGGCTTTATATTAAGAACTAGAGGAGCATAAAATTTACAATAATTTCTATTATTTATAATTTCAAGTGATAAATAGGCTCCAATTATTGGGGGAAAGAAACTCAAAACAACCAGAAAGGGGGGGAGAACACAAAATTCTGAATGTGTTTCACGGACAATACCTTTGTCCGAGGATCTTTTTCTTTAAATGGTTAGACTATGGAATTAATTCAGGACTCAAGCAACACAAT